TGTGTGCATAAAGATTTTTGTAGTATTCATAAATGTATCTTGTATCTCTTTGGGATCAGTTGTGATATCTCTTTTTTATTCCTGATGGAGCTTATTAGAGATTTCTCTTTTCTGCTTTCGTTAGCTTTAGCCAATGTGTGTCATTTTGTTATTTTTTCAAAAGAACCAACTTTTTTGTTTTATTAATCTCCTGAATAGCTCCCTGTTTTTCAATTTCGTTTAGTTCTGATTTGATCTTGTTGATTTCACTTCTTCTGCTGGGTTTGGGGTTGTCTGTTCTTTTTCCAGCTTTGAGTCGTTTCATTAGATTGTTCTATTTGTGATTTTCTTTTGTTTGGTTATAGGCATTTATGGAGATAAACTTTCCTCTCACAGCTTCTACTTGTCCCGAGGAGTTGAATACTTGTTCTCCATTGTCGTTTTCATAGAACTTTTTTATTTCCGTCTTGATTCTTCTTTATGAAGTAATCATTTAGTAGAGGTTGTTTAATTTCCACGTTTTTGTAGAAATTGTTTTTGTTAGGTTGATTTCTAGTTTTATTCCACTGTGATCTGAGAAGGTACATGGTATGATTTCTTTTTTTAATTTCTTGAGATTTTCTTTGTGTCCTAGGATATGGTCAATCTTAGAAATGTCGTGGGCGATGAAAGAACGTATATTCAGTGGATTTTGGGTAGAATGTTCTGTAGATTCCTGTCAGACCCAATTGTTCTAGAGTGTTGTAAGTCCATTATTTCTTTGTTAATTTTCGTTGGAGGTCTGTCTCGTCCATCAGGGTGTTGAAATCTCCGGCGATTATGGAGTTGCTATTAATCCATTTGCTTAGCTCCAGTAAGGTTTGCTTATGAATCTGGGTGCACCTAAGGGGTGCATATATATTTAAAATTGTTTTCTTCTGTTGGACTGTGCCTTCACCCTTAATAATGACCTCTTTGTCTTTTACTACTTTTGTTGGTTAAAACTAAATCGATCTGAAATTACGCCACACCAGCCTTCTTTTGGCTTCTATTTGCTTGGAAATGATCTCCACTCTTTTATTTTTAGTCTATATGCATCCTTGCAGGTAATGTTGTTTCCTGAAGACAGCATATACTTGGCTGTATTTTCTTATCCCATTCAGCCAGCCTATGTCTCTTGAGTGGAGAGTTTAAGCCATTCACATTTATTGAGAGACTGATAGGTAAGGTAGATTACTGATCATTCTGTTGGGTTGGATGTTGTTTCTATGATTTCTGTCTTGACCATTGTAATATCTGGCCTTTAATATCTTTGGGTTTGGTTGTTTTTATATCGTGTTTATTTATGATGTTCCGTGCATAACGCTGTTTTAAGTACTTCGTGTAGGGCTGGTCTTGTCTTGGTGAATTCTCTGAGCCTTTGCTTGTCTGAGAATGTTTTTATTTCTCCTTCATATACGAAGCTTAGTTTTGCAGGGAATAATATTCTAGGCTGGGCATTGTTTTGTTTCAAAAGAGTGAGAATGGGGCCCAGTCTTCCTTGCTTGTAAAGTCTCATTAGAGAAGTCTGATGTTATTCGAATTGGCTTTCCCTTGTATGTTACTTGCTTCTTTTGTCTTACAGCTCTTAGACGGCCTCTTTAGTTGATACTTTGGTCCAGTCTGATGACTGCATGTCGTGACGTCTTCCTGTTTGCGTTGATCTCCCAGAGGTCCTCTGAGCTTCTTGAACTTGTATATCAAGATTTTGAGCAAGGCCTGGGAAATTTTCCTCTATTATATCTTCAAACAGCTTGTCCAACCTTGAGTGTTGTCTTCTTCCCCTTCTTGTAACCTATGACCCTCACATTAGGTTTCTTCACATAATCCCACAGCTCTTGTAGGCTTTGCTCTTTTCTCTTGTTTCTCTGCTCTATTTCTGTGACTGATTTATTTAATTGGAGGGTGTTATCTTCAAGCTCTGAGATTCTTTCTTCTGTTTCATCTACCCTGTTCTTGAGACTTTCCACTGTATTTTGTAGTTCCTTGAATTGATTCTTCATTTCCAGGAGTTTGGTTACACTTTTTTCAATGTGTCTATTTCTTTTCCCATATCCTGGAGACTTTTTGTGTTTCTTTGTGTTGGTTATTGAGTTGTTGTTGCAGCTGGGTGCGTGTCTTATGAACATACGAAATTCCTCTTCTGTCATATTGTTGCCTGATTTTGCGGTGTCCGTTTCTAGGGGCTGTCTTCTCTTTGGGGGTGTTTTCCGTTTGTTTCTTCATATTCCTGAGTTCTTTCGCTGATTTCTTCCCATGTCGACCATTTTGTTTCTTTCTTTAGTTTATTGTTTGGTATTCACACACCTTGTTTAGTTTCTGAGGCGTTAGGTGGTGCCTGTGGGTGAATTGGACCACTCCCTGTATATTGAGTCATGGGTGCCGTGGAAGGCTGTGCAAGATGCCGTCCTGTCAGTAGGTGGCGTTTGCTTGGGAACAGGCTATGGTGTTGTTTTTGAGTCCTGTTATCAGCTCTCTCGTTCTTGGGCGGAGCTGGGTTGGGTAAGCCTGCCCTCAGGCCGTTAGCAGGGGTCAAAGTTCTGTTCTATGCTTCCAGGGAAAGCTGTCAGGTCGGGGGTGGAATGGTCCCGCTCAGCCATACAGTCTGGGTGTGGGGGTGGGGCCATCTGAGACCCGCAGTCTGGAGCGGGCCTTGCTTCTTTCCACCCTCCCCAACTCCGCAGCTACTCCTGGGCCTCTGCCAGCAGGCCAGACCACAAGCCACCAGGCCTCCCCGAACTGTGATGCCGGTGGGGAGGTTCCCTGCACAGGAACGCCACCTGGGTTGGGCGCACGGCCTCCTCCTGAGGAGGGTTGCCCTTAGGACGCGATCAGCCCCTGGAGGCACACACACCTCAGTAGGCTGTTCAGTATAACCTTTGTGCCCGGCAATGCTATCCCTGTGCAGGGGATCTGGTCTGCAGGTCCGACCTCTGGGTCCCAGAGTTCAACTGTATTCCCACCAGGGAGAGATTTCCGGTCCTAATTCACCCACAGGGAGCCAAGCTGGGTCTATGTCTCTCAGCCTCTGAGTCGGACCCGTTTTCCTGGAACACGGTGCCAGCAGCACCTGGGAGGGCGGGTGGAGTCCCAAGGAAGGTCCGCGTTTCCTGGAGGTGCCTCCGCTGGTGGCTGTATTGTCTCTCTGGCAGCCGCGGTAGGTCGCGGAGGGGGGAAGGAGGCAATATGGCGCCTGCCGCGCGGCTCGGGTCGTGCACACGGAGGTGCCCGAGGAGTTGGGAACCTGGTGCCACGTCTGCTGCAGGCTCACCGTTGGCAGGCGGCGCCAGTCTCTGGGCTGGTGTCCGCAGGTCTCTCCACCCCCTGGGAGCCTACCAGCAGTCCGAATGCAGGGGAGGGGAAAAGCAAATCCACCTACCTTGCTGCTGGTCTCCGGGCTGCTCCGGTGGTCTCAGCCTCCAGTTCTCCTCCGCAGCCTCCTCCCTTGGAGTCTCCCGGGGTCTCAGGTACCCCTCCTTCTGGCCCTTGTCTGCTGTATGCTCGTCTTCTTGCTTCTTTCCTCTAATTTCTGCTAGAATCTGTCTTTTCTGCAGAGACACTCTGTCTGGTGGTGTTATTCGTCCGCCATCTTGCTCCGCCCCCCCCAGGCATTAGAATTTTATCTAGCCATTGAAAATCAAACTGCAGAAAAATATTTAGAAGCATGGGAAAATGTTCACAATACTAATTCAATGAAAAAAGGTAAGTTAAAATGTTGTTCTATATTTTATCTCAATTTTGTTTAAAAATTATATATTTTATAGTATATAGAAAGGCCTATATAAATAAATACACATACATATTAATACATATGTATTTATGTATATATGAAACAAATAAATACGCTGTTTATATGTGAGTAGTAGAAATGCTAGTGATTTTTACAAATTTTATATTTTCTTTATGCCTTTCTCTATTTTCCAAAATGTCTACTATTTATGTGTATCAATTATTAGAGAAAAATGCAATAAATATTATTTTTAATAGCCTATAAGATCACTATCCTCCTTATCTGAAATTACTTTCTGAGCTAATATTTTTATCTCAAGTTAGAAATCAAGAAGCCCAGTGAATCACCCAGTTGAGGGTCTTATATCCACACCACCTAACATCGAGAGCCTCTCTAGAGCGTCTCATCACGCTGACCATCTGCCCCAGGTCCCCTTTCCTCGCATCTTTTCAGGAAGGAGAGGCACATGCACAGAGCTTGGGATTTGCAGCCCCACAACCCAGGCAGCTCCATGTGTCCCTTGACCTTAGGCTCAGCTTTGCAAATGGAGCATGTGCTCCAGACGAACCCTGGGAATTCTGTGCGAGACAGACACAGACGCATATGACGCAGACAGTCTGGGGTGTTGGGATTTTCTTCTATGGTTAGTGGGAGCCAAAGGAAGCTTTTAAATTAGAAGAGCAGTTTGATCTTAGTGAAGTGTCACTTACAGTATTTCTAGCAGCAGTATAGAAGAAATGGGAGGAGGAAAGTGATGACGACTGAATAGTTCAGGAACAATGGTGATGGATGGATCCAAGATGCCATGACTAAAAAGGAGATGCTAGATTTGTGAGTGTGAGCATGACTGGTTGCTTGAATGTAAAAGGAAAGAGAGAAGAACTCTGATGAGTCTTGGATTTTTTGCCAAGGGAATTATTTGAATTAGAGCACTGCCAATCCACTATCCATGCTACTTATCTTCTTTCTAAATTAATTTATTTTTAAAATTTATTTTTAATTGACAAATAAAAATGTTATATATTTATCATGCACTGCATGATGTTTTGATATATGTATACAATGTGGAATAGCTAAATCAAGCTAATTAATATATGCATTATTTCACACACTTATTTTTTTTAGTGAGAACACTTGATATTTACTCTCAGCAATTTTCAAGAATACAATACATTGTTAGCTGATAACAATAATATTGTCAATTAATTATTGTCACCACGTTTACCAATCTTTTTTACAAAGGAAGGTTTAAGGTTTGTTGCTTGTATTCTAGAGTCCAGGAGGACAGGAACCATATCTGGCTTTCTCAGCACTGTATACCCAGCACCGAGTTGTGACACATAGTAGGCAACCGGTAAGTATTTGGTAAATCAATGACACAAGAATAATTGCTCAGTGGTGACAACTGAGATGATGACAATGAGATGATGACAATGATGACAATGATGAGTGAATATGCACAGTGTAAAATGAGGCAGAAAGAAGAGGTATAGCATTTTTAAGCTGTTTGGAGCGGGTAGTTAAGAAGAAAGATTGTGTACAAGAGGTGATAGTTGATTGTCATTAAAATATAAAGAAATGCTTGCAAGTAGACAGCATGAGAAATGGGGAAGAAAAGCTAGTTTCAGGGAACAGTGCAAGGAAAGGTAAAGAGGCATAAAAGAGCACGACCCGTTTGGGAATCTGCATGGTTGGGCATGGCTGGAGCATGGGGTGCAGACGGGAAAACAAGAGACCATGCAGACCAGGCACAGAAGCCACAGCATGGAGGGTCTTTCTTGTCATGGTTGCGAGTTTGGATTTCGTCCAGCAGACCTGTTGAATTTGAGAAATTTTAAGCAAGAAGTGGCTTGAATAAATTTTTATCCTATGTAGCTGATTCTGATGGTCTGTGGACAATAGACTAGAGGGAAGCAGGAATTGTGGAGAGCAGGATGAGATGGTTTGAACGAGGCACATCAACTGAGCAACAGAACCTTGCCACAGGCTGCACTGGGCTGTGGGTGTCATGAGGGAGAGAGGCGTCAAGGCTGACTCCCAATCGTCCAGCTTAGGCAACACAGGAGATGGTGTGCAGATCAATGAAATAAGATAAGCAGGAGAAAAAGATATTCATTGGAACATGATCAAATGCTCCTTTCCCCATTTTTGTGCCAACTACTTTCATTCTGCCCAATGTCACCTACTAAGAAATTCCGTTTTAACATACCTGGACCACCTGACTTCCTCATCACACCAAAATTCACGTCTCCACAATACCATTCTCTTGGGGCCCAGACATCTGCTAAGTGGAAGTGAAATATTAAATGGTTGGATAACTGACTTAGGCTACACATCTAGGTGTTATCACCCCCAGGTATCCATGGGCATTTCAACAGAAGCCTTATTAAAAGAGCACGTTAAATGAAATTGGTTTGGCTCATTGAGGATACACAACTATAGATAATTTTTTTAAGTTTATTTGCATCAATATTTTTGTGCTGCAAATAAAAATCCAGAAAAATAAAGCATGATATAAAAAACACAGGAAAAAAACAAGAAAAAAAGTCTATCTATAATAATGACAATTGAAAAAAAAGGACCTCTCATGGTGACAATTGGGAGCCACGTGGGAGACACTTAGGAGTGTCTAAGACATAGATTGTTTCCTCTCCTGTGTCATGTACTAAAATCAATGAACAGTAGCTTACCCCCCTAATTACTACACTAAATAAATTAACAGGATGTTGATGGGCTTAAAATACATCTAAGTTTATATCCCAGCACCACCGCTTCCTAAGTCTGGGAACTTGGTCCTTTTATTTTACTGTGACTCAGTTTCCTGATGTGCAAAAACAAGATAATAATTTCTACCATGGGGAGAAGATTAAATCAGAGACTATATGTAAAGCGCCTGACATAGAATCTCAATAAGCTAATCTTTGTAGTAACAAAAGAGTTCCTAGGGCATATTTGTGTATTTATGTGATTTACTGTCTCACAATGTCTTCGTGCCATCACAGGCTGACCATGATTGCATTTCTTTGTCCCATCCTCAAAGAGATGGAGATAGGGCAGGGTCCCAAGTGAACCATGCACTCCCTAAGGAGAGGAAGTAAGCAATATGAAACATAAACAGAGTCAAACACCATGTAAACAGCTGCACAGGGCTCACAATGCCTTTGATGAACACCATAAAGGAACAACAATTATTATGACAGTGAAGCAACAATTATGACAATTAAGTTTAATGGAGATAATTAAGCCAACTTAAACAAATGAGCATTCCTTAGATATCTTGCTTACTTCTTCCACTTACTGTTCTTAGGCTTCAGAAAAGCAAACAAACATACAATACCAAAACCTTCCTAGAGAAGGTTTAGGGAGAAACCACTAAAGCTGAAGATGCATGTCCCATGCTTAGACACCTTTCTGAGAGGTCCAGGGCTCAGAACATGGGGCCAGCAGATGGGTCGAGAGGTGGGCCTGGCTGTTCACGTAGGGCCTCCAGGCAGCAGCCTGGCATCTCTTAATGGCTGCATTGTGTTTTCATGCCTGGGAGAGCTGAGAGAAGAATTGCGATGCCAGAGGCCTGGCTATGGGATTCCCACAGTGTAACCACACCTCCTGAGTCTCCCTCTCTCTTCCCCAACAAGTTCTCTCCCAAAGCACTGCTTCCCTTAGGAACACCTAGATGGGGCCTAGAAGGAAGCTTTCATTTTTACACCCAGAGAGAAAGAGCACTAAGGCAGCCCTGTTCCAGACAATAGGCAGGCCTTTGTTGGATGGGGCTTAAGGAATTATGGGGAAATGTATGGAATTTAATAGATATAAAGGAAGAAAAATAGAATCTATGATCTTACATACTTCCATACCCCACCTCTATCGAGCCCTGCTAGTGTTTGAAAACAGTCAAAGAAGATGCCTAGCTACACAAGAGAGAAGAGGTCAGTGGTTAAAAGCAAGGACCTGGCTGGCCTGTGTCCAAATCACAGCTCTGCCACTTACCTAGATGTATGATCTATGTCAAGTGCTCAACTTTTCTGTGCTTTCATCTCCTAACCTGTAAAATTGTGATAATTAGAGTACCTACCTTATAAAGTTGTTTAGAGATTAAATTGTGTTAACCAATACAAGGTACTTTGGACAGTTCCTGACATATACAAAGCACTCAGTGTTAGCACAAAACTATGTGTGCATTTGTAAAGTTACAGTCAACTATGAGCTTATTCCATCTGCTTGCTTCCAAATTATATTCTCCCGTGGGAGTAATGTTCTTATATACACAGGATTCTCCATTTTTGTTATTGTTTCCTTGGTGGTGGTGGGAGGGATCTTTTAAACCCAATTCATCAACAGATTACATATTTGACCTAGAAATCTCTTATAGAATCATTTTGAATCCCACCATATTTATTTCTAATTATCTGAATGTAACTTATCTCCTATTTAACCCAAGAATTTTTAAAAATTCTTCAGCCAAGTCAACCCTTTTCTACCTGTGAGTCCTATTGTCAGTCCTGGGTTCTCACTCATGTTGTATCGAGCCACTGGACCAGATCTTCCACTTGGCACCGCAACGAGAGACAATGCCACACGGCCGTTTTCATGTTTCTGCATGGTCAGAGCCATTTGAGCAAAAATTATTGGCAACGTTTAACAAGGGTGATTGGCAAACAAGCCTTGGAAGTTCAATATGGAGACATCCGGAGAGAGTTAGAGAGATCTCCTCCAAAGCAAGGCATCTGCTCATACTCCAGGGCGATAAACCTAGAGACCTCTTCCCCAAGAGAAGATCTTCACTTCTCAAATCTAACGTCTCTCCCCCACCCGCCACCCGCCAGCCTTAATCCAGAGAAGAATGAGGCAGAGAGGCCAGCAGCCCCTATGTGAGCTCTGAGTTTCCTAATTCCGAACTCTGCAAGGACAGGTACATCGGGCAGCTCCTACTGAGTCACCCTATGGGGAACTGAGGGAGGAGGAAGCCACACAGTTGCTCTAGGAGTAAAAGGCCTGTCCCTTGATGCAGAGGTCTCTGTTTCTTGCACCATGAAGCCCTGAAGGGCAGACGTCCTGACTGACACGTGCGTGCATGCGTGTCTGTGTCTCTCATGCGCTGTGGGCAGCTAACTTGTCAGCTTGCAGGTGGGGCAATATGCCACACCCTTGATGGTTTCAGACCAACTTCCTGTTCACAACACCCATCCTTCTCCAGAGCTCACCTTTTCTGCGAAGCCACCCATAGAGGAAATTATGAATTCCTAAAAAAGTAGCTCTATTGTTCCCAGAATTTGATACCTCACTCCCTTTTTAAAAATAAAGTGTAAACTCATAAAGGACTTTTCAAAGCACACAGGGGAAAAATGATAAAGCCCAAACTAAACCCCAGGATCAGAAGGTGCCCCGGGCCACACCTCACTGCGCAGGTGGGGCCTGCCTTGGGGTAGTGCTGGGCCTAGACAGGAGCGCCTCCAGGGCTCCTTTCCCAGGCAGCACCCCATGGGCCCCACTCTCCTTTTGTGGGGGTGATGGAGGCGGTGCTCACACTCAGGCTCTTCCAATATTTGACAAGTTTAAAAATGCATTATAAGAGAGAATTGTTTTCGTTGTTTGTTTTGTTTTCATTTTCCACCTTAAGCCCAGGACCACAGCACCTGTCCTGCTGGGGCAGCAGAATGGTGTGAGAAAGCTGGGGGGGGGGGGCATGGAGGGCGGCACGGCAGAACAGAGAGACTTCCCTCCACTCCAAGCGCCGCCGACTCTGTCTGCGGCTGCCATTCTCCGGTGTGAGCTGAAGGTGGGCTGGTGCAAGAGGTGATAAACAAACAACCTGATGGACGTTGGTCTGTCCTTAGCCCACGCTAGCCCCAGATGGAGAGAGCCAGTGCAGGGAGGCGAGGCAGGAACCTCCCCGAAAGGAAGAGCAGAGGCAAGTACTGGGGAGAGGACACGAGATGTTGGGCTCCGGTTCCAGGCAAGGACTTGGGGCATGCAGAGCCCCACAAAGGGCACAGACTGTCAAGGGGAATGCTGCAAGGACCACCCAGGAGCTGTGTGCTGGTCGTGGGTCCCTGGCCCAGATAGGGAGCATAGCTTGACCAGAAAGCATCAGAGTTGCTGGCCTTCGGATGACACGGGGATGTGGCCCCGTGTGCTAAAGACCTTCAGCACCAGGTAGCAAGTGGCAGCAGAGAGGTGTGAGCCCAGACAGGGCTTACATCGACAAAGCATTAGAAGATGGGTCCTGGGACCTCACCTGACTGTGCAGAGCCAGGGAAGGAAGCGACAGTAAAGATGCAGATCGCATTGCTGGCTGCCCTGGCTAAGTAGGGACTCACTGTCAGATACATTCTGATTTAGAAAAATATTCTGATTTTTGTTATAAACTGTGATGGTATAAAATGCATCCCTGCTTCATGAATATACCGCCAAGGCATAGGCCTATAAATATATTTACCTAGTTTATCTAATTTATTTATATAGTTACATTGCTTCTGAGCAGAGTGCGGTTATTTCTACAGTGAACAATCCTAAAACTCCTTTCTCGCTGATCCCACACTGAAGGAGCATTCCTGCCCAGCCACCTTTCTTCTAGCTGCCATCTTCGAAGGGCTCTGCTAATCGCGGGTGAGTATTAACAGCACAGCGGTGTCCCACAGACGGAGACGGGTTGGTGACCTGCTTACTGTGCACGCTCCTCTGCTGTTACCAGGGGCAGGCGGGAGTTATGAGAACATCGACGGCCACAGTCGGCCCTGAGGAAACCAGGGCAGCAGAGTTCCCCAACTGTCCTCTGTTGGGTTTGGAAACATCCTCTGCCCTCTCTCCGGAGGTTTGCCAAGTGGTGGGCCTCTTGTCTTCAGGGCCCTTTTTGTCCTAAAACTCACCAGGTCCTTCTTACCATCTGGCCGCCCTGTGTACCCCGACATTCATTCCCGCTTCCTTCTTGGGAGGTTTGCTACCAAGCATCTAGAATTGCACAACACACAAACTTGGAGCAGGTTCAACTCTTTAACTAGTTTCGGTTGTTTTATGATCAATACCTCTTGCCTCAGGCTCCAAAGGAAAATTACAGCGCAATCAGCTCTGTGTTTTTATAAACTGTGTCTGGCTTGCCTCTGCCTTTGATCCGTTCTCATGGAGCACAGTGACGGGGTGTGGCGACCGCTATGTAAGCACACGGAAGACAGCAGAGGACGGGTCGTGCTCCGCCAGTGACCACACAGAAGGCCTTGTTCCCAGGCTCGCCTATGTTGTCCTGTGGTTATCAGGAGCCGGGACCTCAGCCTTTCGCCCATGCACCTGCCGATCCCTGTGCTCCTGAGCGCTGCGTCGCTTTGCTCTGCCACACCTTGCAGTGTGAGGGAGGAGAGGAGAGGAAGTGGCTGGGGCCCAGCAATGGAGACTTAACTACTCTGAAGACGCAGAGACCTTAAGCAGGTGCTTTTCCCAGTTGAAACATGAAATTCCAAGAAAAGAGAGGGCTTCTGTAACCTTCACAAAGGGAGTTAAAACCACACGGCTCGGGGAGGCTGTGTGGCTTGCTCAGGCCCAGGGCAGCTAGCAGGTGGCAGGGAAGAGGTGCAGCCTGCCGTGCCAGATGCCGACATGCCACCCGCTGCGCTGCACTGCGCTGCCCACGGTGGCCAGAGTGAGCAAGAGGCCGAAATGGGGCCACTGAGCACATGGCAGCACCAGAGCGCCAGAGCAGAGCAAGGCCCCTCTTCGAGCCTGAGCTACGGGGAGGGCAAGAGGAGAGAGCAGGGGGCACGCTGGGGCCGGTGCCCAGGCTCCCGCGTCAGCGGCGCTGGCCGTCCTCTGGGCTTCTGCACGCTCCACCCGAGCCTCTCTGAGCTCAGCCCAGCACCACGGCGCTGCCAGAAGCGTGGCTCTCCCGGCGTTTCCTAGCAACACACTCTGGAAAGTCAGTTCCTGGACTCTGGAGAAACACTGCCTTGGAGACCCTGACAGGTGGCCAGCTGAACTGCCGTGTGCCGGAGACCGAGCCTTCCCCGCCCCCGCTGCGTCTCAAATCCCACGCGAGGATGGCGGTGTGCAGGGCTGTTCTCCTGCTGGAATCTGCGCCCTGACCTAAACCACTGCACTGAATGGCTTTGGCAAAATAGAGATGTCTCTGTACAGGATTTTAAGAATAAAGAGAAATTCTTTTTCCTTCAAATCACTGATTTAAAGAGGAGTGATCATCTCTTCACTGTAATAATACTCTAAATAACTATCTGTTGAAGGTCAAAGCCATGTTCCATCCCTTTGAAGCCCTGTGGTCCCTGATGCCTCTAACCTTCATCTATGGCTCTTTTGATCTCATACTCTCTTTAAATCTCCTGGGTGATTAGCAGCTCATTCTCAATGTATCTTCTAGGATATCTCCTAATTGCAGGTTTATTTAGCTGCCACAGTTAAAATACAAAGACTACTGATGTCAGGGTATGTCCCTGAGCTTCCCATGGAGGTGCCCTTGCAGGTGAGGTTCTCACCTCTCTCACCTGGATGGCAGTGCTGCAGGCTCCTGGCCTTTCTCCTCGGCTCTCCTAGATATGATCCTGTTTCTCTTTAGCCCTGGGCACCCATTTGAGTCACCTGGGGCATTTTTAAACAGGTGCATGCCCCACATCACACCTGTTCAACTGACATAACACCTCTGGTTTGGGCAGAGGCAAGAATCAGGATTCATAAAAGCTTCCCCAGTGACTCTTGGGCTCGGCCCACTGAGAAGCCCACTGCCAGAAGCCTTTCAAGACCACTTCTGCGTGCCCTCTCCATCCTGAGTCTCACCCCTTGCTCTCCAGCCCACTGTGACTGTCACTGGACACACACGCCTGTCTGTGCTGTCCCCTACGGCCTTCCCAGGGGCAGGGGACACCGGCCTGTCTGAATCTTGCCAAATTCCCGCAGCTGGACTGCAAGCTGCATTCGGGGGGTGAGGGCTGCCTCATCTCCACACCCCTGTGATTCCAGCACAAGTGCAGCCGGGGACAGGCCCTCAGAACTCTTGCTCAGTCATGCATGGAGACTGGCTGCATGTGCACGTCGCAGGAGGAAGTGCCCCGACACGCTCTGCAGGGCTTACTTCTTGTCCCTGCCTCCTCTCAGGTGTCGATCATTGATAAAAACATTTCCAAACTTCATTCCCATCACACATTGTGGTCACTGAATGTGCTTTCTTCTATCCAAGAACACAGCACAAGAACCTGCAATAGTGATCTTAAACATTAGAAACCTTTGTGAGGTCTATCTGAGGGTGGAGGCAGGAATCCTGCCACAGACCCTGGGAAGAGGTCGGTATTCCGGAGGAATGTATGTGAGCGCAAGAGATAAGTTTGCTGTGGGCAGAAATGAAACCACGAGAGCTTGGTACCACGTTAGGGACCTCAGCCTTTATTCTTGAGGCCCTCGGGAGCTGTTAGAGGAGGTTCAGTTATGGATTTCAGGGGAGACCCTAAGGAACAGCCTCCGGGAAGAAGACTGACAGTGGCGCATGGCGGGGAAGCTGTCACAGTATCCATGTGGGAGGTGCAGAAGTGGCAAGGGGCAAGCGAATCATCAGGACGTGCCCGGCGAGGGTTTGAGGCGCCGAGCGGGGAGACTCAGCGATGACTGCCCACCTTCCGGCCCTGTCAGCTGCCCAGATGGTGGTGGCACTGCTGAGGCTGGCCAGCTGGAGGACAAGCAGACTCTGCAGTGTGGTCAGTGTTTCCTGCCTGTGGGACATCAGGCCAGAGCTCAGGACCATGCTGAGGGCTCAAGTTAGGTCTGGGAGCCATGACGCTGTGGGGCTGCCTGGGGACCCAGGAGAGGGTGACCACTGGGGGAGGGGCCTGGCAGGAAGGAAGGAAGCCTCAGTGGAGCTGAGGGAGCACCAAGGCCTCAGGGACAGGTGTTTAAGAGAGAAATGATTCTATGGCACTGGTTAAAGCTCAGTAAGGAAGACTATTCGGGGCCATCACTGCAGGTAAGGGGACCGCTGCAATAGGGTCTTGCCGTGGGGGAGAGACTGGGCTCAACTCTGAACAGCGCACAAGCAAGTGGGGATTGATGGCCAAGGAGCCGGGTGGGGTCAGTGGGTGGGAGATGACTCAGAGGAGACATTGGGGCTCAGGAAGCATTCTGGCTAACTGACCTGACAGGCTTCTTGCTAAAGGCAGGCCAGTGGCCAGACAGACGGAAGACGAGTACCCCATCGGACATGGAGGATGAGCTCATTTCAAGGGGAAGGGTTTTGGCTAAACTGACTTACTAAAACTGGATCTTACAAGGACGTGCACAGGTGGGCCTAGAAGGCTCAGAGACTACCTAGAGCTTGGCCAAGCAAAGACCCTACGGCACAGGAGCCTGAGGAGGCAGCTAGGCAGAGGTGACTGGGAGAGGGATGCCCTGGTGCTGGATGCCTCCTGGACCTAGGAAGGTTCTGCTGAGGGTCTGGGCTGTGGGGTTGAGGGGAAGCCAGGCTGGACATTGAAAACGCAGCGTGACTCAAGTCCCAGCTGGTCCACACACTTCAGGGCTGGCTTTCCAGGCCTTGCGCGTGGTTTCCACAGATCCTGGATCATGGGAAGCAAAGCTTCTGGGGCTGACTCAACTCCCAAATTGGCTACACACCCACCTCCACCAGGCCAGGTCCCGTCCACCACACTCCTGCGTGGCCCATTGCAATGGTTCAGGATCAAATGGAGCCATTTGGTAATTAAGTACCTGTTTGTTCACCCAGCGCCCACCTGGTGCAGAAACGCTGTGGAGGGAGGGAGGAAGGAAAGAGGTCAAGGAAGAAAGAGAAGGAAGGAAGACGACCCTCCACGTCTGTTCCTTTCTCTAGACTAAGGACAGCAGCCCAAGCCCGCAGGGCTGCTGTGCGCAGTGGGGAAGCAGAGCCGGACCCTGAGGGCAGCCAGGAAGGCGTTTCTGCCAGGCACCACTGCGCCCCAGACACCACAGGCACACTCTGCCATCCGCCATGCAGGCTTCTCCACAGCCCTGTGACCGAGGTCTGGTCAAGATTATTTCACAAGAAAATTGGCCTCTGAGAGATTAACTTGCCCAAAATGTTCCTGGCTTCCTTCAAATATTAGTGTTTTTCCCTATACACACTCAGGGTTGCCAGAAAAAATACAGAACCCCCAGTTATATATGAATTTCAGGTAAACAGTGAATAACCTTTCAGTGTAAGTATGCCCTAAACATTATATGGGATTTACACTAAAAATTTAAAGATCTTTCTTTCATCTGAAATCCAAATTTAACTGGGGGTCCTTTATTTGTATGTGCTAAATCTACTACTATTTGCTCAATCACAGCACCACACCAAAGTATAAGGGCAGAAGAATATGGGCACTCAGCTCAGGGGCTGGCCCTGGCGCTCAGACGGCTCTGGATCACTCAGCTCCTTCCCGCCTTAGTCTCCAAAGACATGGAGAAGGCCAGGCCCAGGCCAAGTGCAATGCAGGGGATTCATTTCCTCTGCAAACTCAGGCACTGCCTTCCCCCGACAGGCCAGGAGCCTCCCAGAAGTGCCCCCGTGGCCTTGTCCCTCTGTTCCTGTGACTGGCTGCCAATGACTCCACTGACCCAGCAGCCCTGTGGCTCTGAGCTGTGTGTCACATCCCCCCAGAGCCACCCAGAAACCCCCGGAACTGTCTTGTTCCGAGAGAGTGGTGGTATCACATAACAGTTATTTGTTGGTTTGTTTGTTTCTTCCTACTTTCCATTTTAATCACCTTTTTCTGTCAGCCCCAAAGCTTCTGACTGTCCTTCTTACTGCTGTAAAATATGTCCGTTTCCCTATTGGAACCACAGCCGTTTGCTTCATTCTATACATATATATTATACATGCCCCCTTTTCTCTTTACAGTTAGTGAAAGAATATTAAAATTAAAACGAATGCACACACGAGCCAGAAACACGCTCCTGAGCCCGAGCCATCCATGGGATCGCCGTCTGCAAGCTTCTCTGTGTGTTATTAAACTGTTTCTGAGCTTCCTGTATCTGAGAAGAGACTGGCTTGAGAGGAACAGCGTCCCATTCCTGGCATTTTATTTGATGTGGGAATAAGAGAAACACCATCAGCCCTAAGTTAAACAACTTAAACTTGTGTTCAACCTATGTCTTGATTAAGACAGTCTTTTAAATTTATAAAGTAACTTTTTTAAAGAAGGTGTTTGAATGAAGCAAATTGCAAACGACTGTATTTCCCCCATCCTTCCTCCTCTGGGAACTCCGGAGCTGCCATAACTGTCACTGGCAAAGTCCAGGCTCTAAGCCCTGCCGGAGAGGCCTGGGCCCTGAGACAGGCAGGCCTCTCCTGCAGCCCGGCCAGAAGTCACCTGCGCAGGAGGTGACTCCTCCCCAAACATCCTGCACCCACGGTCCTTTTCCTGTACCCTAACATAAGGTTATGGGAGCTCCAGTTACTGAGGGTGGCATCTTCAATGAAGCCATTTAATATAGCACACGGTGCAGTGGCTAAGAGGGTTGTGTGGGGTCAGATGCTGGCTCAGCCCTTACTGGCTGTGTGACAGACCTTAGGCAAATTGTGTGACTGCGCCTGGCCCTCTCGCCTGACAAAATGAGGTCTTTAAGGTAGAAGTGAGGATTCAGCAATAGAAGGTACACAGAGCACTTGGAGTGCTTAACCCTTTGCACTCGGATGTCAAGTATGACTCGACGCGGTAAGCATCGGTAGCGGCTCGTATGTGGAGCCACACTCGACACGGAGTTCCACCGCGGGGGGGAAGGGGGACTTTTCTCTATCTTTCCAGTATCTTCTCTTGTTTTCATTAGCATGAAAGGACAAGTAAAATGTAAATGCAGAGATGGTACACTAACTTCCAGGGGTAGGTTATTATCCACTAACTTAGAGCAACGTTTAGATGGAAAGTTCCATGTAATCACACCTCACCCTAACAAAAAACACAAAGATCGTGTTGTTTGTTCTAACAGAAAAATCAAAGGAGGAAGAAGAGAGACGATTTATATTTGCGAAACATGTGAATGTAAACCAGGTCTTCATGTGGGTGAATGTTTCAAAAAATATCACACCATGAAAAATTAGAGAGATTAAAATTACTCTTTGAATGTATCAATAATTTGAAATATAAAAAAATCCAAATAAATAAGTTTGTATGAAAAGAAACTCCAGTTTTTTATTCTACTGCTGCACTTCGTAAAATCTGGGATATTTAAAAAATTAAATC